GGACCTAAACTGTGGTGCATTATGCTTGCTGCCATTTAAACACACAGTCGTAGTTTGTTACTGAGAACATAAGCATGAATAGTTCTATAGTCAGTGCTGTTTGCTCATGTAAGCAGGACTGTAACACTAACTATTAAACTTCAGCATAACTAAAGATAACTTGCATGAATGATACCTCAGATCACACAGGTGCTGTTACTCACAGTCATAGTCACATTGTGCACTGTAAAAATGTTAAAAAAATTATATTATATTATATTATATTTTGAATATTATATAATATTGTAACTAGGATTTTGGTGCCAGAAAGGTGGTTATGGGGCAGAAAAATTTACTTTGCACCTTCTAGTCCCAAACCAGGAAGCCAAATTGCATAGCAGTGTTGATTTCTCAAAAATAAAAATAATTTTTTAGTAAATTGCTGTGGATTTGATGTTATACCTTTAAATTCAAATGTCAAATATTTCAAGGTTTCTACAAAACTATGAAGCAGCACAACTCTTTTCAACATTGATAATAATCTGAAATGTTTCTTGAGCAGCAAATCAGCATATTAGAATGATTTCTGAAGGATCATGTGACACTAAAAATGCAGCTTTGCATCAAAGGAATAAATTAAACTTTAAAATATATTTACATAGAAAACCGGTATTTTATTATTTCACAATACTGCTGTTTTTACTGTATTTTTGATCAAATAAATGCAGCCTTGGAGAGCATACATATGTATTAAGCATTTATTAGATATGACTAGCTTGTAATGGCATGAAGGTTAATTTAATGTAATTTTAATTTGCATGATTGTGCAAGTAAATGGAAAATAACTATTTGTCTTCTGAAAAAAGTAAAAAATCAAGTACTAAACAGAAATAGTCATACCTTGACTGGCATGAACTACATTAACACTGAGTTTATGATCTATCCACACACACACACACACACCCGTGCAACACTTGCATGAGAAGCCTGTAGCTGCATTTAACCTGGCTGAACATTGACAGAAATAATCCTGCAGGAATGCAGAGCTCTTTATATCTTTACAGCTGCTTCAGAAATGTGAAGACATTTATTGCTTACTAGATACACACTAAATCATCTGTCTGCCAGTTTATTCTTGTAGCATGTTTCTGTCTTTATGATCTGTTTTTCTTCATCAGGGCTGAATGTTGGCTGTTTCTATGGTGTCAGTACGCTTCTCAACCGAATGATCATTGAACACTATCCTGTAAGTCCCTCCCACCCACCTCCTATCCAGCCAATCACGAGAGCCCCTGACCTACACTCAATTTACATAATAACTGAATTGATTTTTTAGTTTTGTGAGAATCATCATCAAACCTAATCTTGAACTTGGTAAAACAATTATCTTTATTTAAAATGTTTCAAGTCTTAATACTTTTCCTTTTGTTATACTGGGATAAATCATACCAGGATGTATGCAAAAATTGTTGGATATGTCACCCTACCGAGAACATTTTCCACCAGCCTCCACTGGAATGCAAGTGAATATTTGCTCTGCTTTGAACAGGGAGAGGAGGTGAACGCCGGCAGGATCGGCCTCACCATCGTGATCGCTGGCATGGTGGGATCCCTCATCTGTGGGATCTGGTTAGACCAATCTAAGACATACAAGTAAGAAGCTGAATTTTAATCTTGAAATGTCCTTCAGACAGTGACAGTGCTCTAAATGTTTGTCTTCATTCCTCCTTGAAGATAAGTGTGCTATTGAGTCCTTCCCACCCATGAGTCTGTTCACATGCTTTGGTTTAGTGTGTTTGTCCAGGTGTTTGAATCACTGACCCATGAACCTAGACCTTAGTGACCCCGTGACCTTTTGTCTAAGTGTATTTGACCCCTCGCAGCATGCCTTCCCCTCCTGGACATTGTGATGTTTCTTTTGTTCAGCAGAATGAAGGACAAAATGTCTTAGTGTAAAAACTTACATTGACCAGGGTTTCCCATACATTGATTGCGGCCCGCCACAAATAGATTTTCCAAAAGGCTTTGACTTCGTTGAATAAAGCACTGCATGTTTCAAAGTCAAAACGCAGCACGGGTGTTTTTATATAAATGTATCTTTATTGTCTTCAGAAAAGTTTTGATGTCATTTTTCATTTAATCTTTCCTATAATGCCTAATAAAGCAGCGTTTATGAGCACAGCGCTGCTTTGTGTTCTGCCGTTACCAGGGAAACCGCTATTTCTGCCGCTCTTAAATCGCTCCTGCTGGAAGAGCGTGAATTTGCACTTTCAATAAGCCCGTCTGCTGTTTTATATTTACATAATTTACATATATATTTCCCCCAGGCGAAGTGCCGCCACACATAGAGTGTAAATCTGTGGGAAACACTGTTGGCACTTTCCACACACAATACTGCACTGAAATGACAAATTAATAATGTGGTGGGTGTTTCTTCAACTTCAGACAATATTGTGTCACTGGAGTTCACTGATATTTACATTTTGCTACTTTTCAAATATTGTGGTCAGTAAAAAATTTTAAAGGGGTCATATGATGTTGCTAAAAATAACATTATTTTGTGTATTTGGTGTAATGAGATGTGTTTATGCGGTTTAAGGTTAAAAAAACACATTATTTTCCACAAACTGTACAATATTGTTTCTTCTCTATGCCCCGCCTTTCTGAAACGAGTCGATTTTTACAAAGCTCATCAGTCTGAAAAGCGAGGTGTGCTCTGATTGGCCAGCTATCCAGTGCGTTGTGATTGGCCAAATACCTCAAGCGTGTGACGGAAATGTTACGCCCCTACCATACTGTGATGCCGTCTCCCGGGTGAGCGGAGGCCGGCAGGCTTGCGGCAACCACATGTGACGACCCCGTGCTGGACTCCGCTTCGTCCACGGTGAAAGGTGATCCGGCGATCCACAGCGCGAAGTTGATGTATTTCCTCAGCGACCAGCACGGATCAGCTCTAGGCATGACGAAGCGGATATCGTCCTCTATTGGAAGGCCAAACAAAGTAGTTTTGCTTTCACAACGAAACACACGGTAACAACAATACTACAGCGAGAGTAAAAGTTACGCCTTCTTCCCACATCGTGAGGTAGACATGTGGGGGCGTGTTAGAACGAGCGGTTTTAGGTAGGCGTGGCTGACTCTTAACGTTTATAAAGAATATCTCTTTGGATTTGAGACTTTAGTGTTTGCAACTTTACAGATCTTCTTTATGCACCAAGATCTTTGGAGAACACTCCAAAGAGAAAGGAAAAATTGAAATCGCATCATATGACCCCTTTAAATGTTTTTGAAAAAAGGGTCTTATTCTCACCAAGTCTGAATGAACATTAAAAACTGCAGTATTGTGGAATATTATTCCAAATTAAAATAACTATGTTCTATTTGAATATATTTTGAAATGTAATTTATTCCTGTGATCAAAGCTGAATTTTCAGCATCATTACTCCAGTCTTCCGTGTCACATGATCCTTCAGAAATCATTCTGATTTGCTGATCTGCAAGAAATTTATTATTATTACCAATGCTGCAAACAGTTGTGCCATTTAATATTTTTGTAAAAACTGTAATACATTTTATTTTTCAGGATTCTTTGATGAATAGCAAGTTCAAAAGTACAGCGTTTATATGAAATAGAAATCTTTTATAAATGTCTTCACTGTCACTTTTAATAAATTTAATGTGTCCTTGCTGAATAAAAGTATTAATTTAATTTTTATAATTTTTTTTAAATATGAAATGCCGTGATAAAAATATTAAATTTTTCAAAAAAAAAAATCTAAACAAAGAGTAAAGCAATCACAAATAATATTATTTTTATGTGAACATTATTGATATATTTTGTTACACATATTATGACTGTCCCACAGTTGTGCCATCATTTCCAACAAAAGCAACAATTTTTCCACTAATAATTCTGTAAAGTGCTCATAGTTGATGAAACGCCAAGATAATGTTACATTCAGACTTGGCAGATGCTGTTTTACAAAATCAAGTGAAATGTTATTTCTGGATCTACATGTATGTGCAGCTGCTAAGAATGACATGATCAAACTCATTTGTCCAATCATACTCGGATCTAAATGTTGGATCCTGATGAAAGATTTAACCTGTCCCATGTCTCTGTTATGTCTTGTCTCCACAGACAAACAACACTAGCCGTGTATCTGATGTCGCTTGTGGGTTTGGTGCTTTATGCTTTTACCTTGGATCTGGGTCACTTTCCTCTCATAAACACTACACTATCATTCAAAAGTTTGGAGTTCGTACTATTTTATAAATGGTTTTGAAAGAAGTATCTTATGCACACCAAGGCTGCATTTATTTAATTAAAAAAAAACAATCAAAAAAATTAAAAATGACTGTTTTCTATATGAAAATGTAATTTGTTCCTGTGATGCAAATTAGAATTTTCAGCATCATTGCTCCAGTCTTCAGTGTCACACGATCCTTGAGAAAATCATTCTAATTTGATGCTCAAAAAAAAAAAAAATTCTGAGTATTATACATTCATATTTTTGTGGAAACCATGACATTTTTTTGTGTGTTTCTGAGAAATAGAAAGTAGAAAAATAAATAAACAAACATAATTTTTGAAAAATAAATCTTTTTTAACATTCTAAATGTATTTACTGTCACTTCTGATCAATTTAATGCATTCTTGCTGAACAAAAGTATTAATTTCTGTAAAAACCAAAAAAATCATACTCTTCCCATTGCTCTTTTTCTACTTATGCTGTTCTCCCTTTTCCATTTTTCCACTTATTCCATTCTATTTTCCACTCATCATCATGAATGGGATGTTTTTAACTCAACCTTTTATTCCACTGATCATCTCATTCTCTGTTCTAGTTTCCTATCTGTCCAAATCCATTCATGTTTACAGATCTGTGTGTGTGTGTGTGTGTGTGTGTGTGTGTGTGTCTCTACAGGCAGCATTGGGCAGGTCAGACGTTCAGGATCACAGTGGGACGTCTCTCCACCCCTCCACACACATGTGATCAATCAATCACTGCTTGATTTTATTGCTGACAGTGGTTCAGGTATGGGTGGCACACCCGATCAGCCCTTCTGATTCACACTCAATGAGACCCATTTTAATTATCGCTTATAAAGTGATTCAGATGTTCTTTTGATTCTCTTTCAGAGTCCAATGTTCATGATTTTTTTGCCTGCTCTATCTGAACGCTTCACCCTTGAGCTTTGTACGTGTGTGCGAGGTCATTGTAGTTTGGTTGTTCGATGTGTACTAACATTTATCCACTCATTTAATTGGGAAGTCGTGGCCTAATGGTTAGAGAGAATGGTTCGAGTCTTGTACGGGCAGGGATTGTAGGTGGGGGGAGTGAATGTACAGCGCTCTCTCCCACCTTCAATACCACGACTGAGGTGCCCTTGAGCAAGGCACCGAACCTCCAACTGCTCCCTGGGCGCCGCAGCATAAATGGCTGCCCACTGCTTTGGGTATGTGTGTGTGTTCACTGCTGTGTGTGTGCACTTTGGATGGGATAAATGCAGAGCACTAATTCCGAGTAGGGGTCACCATACTTGGGCACATGTCACGTCCCCTTTTTTGTGGATTTTATTTGTGATTTTTTTTTTCACTAGCATACCAACTGCGGATGTGTGCATGAAACTGGTTAGTGGCCACCAGGGGGTGCCGTTTTACTGTGATATCTGTTAATAGTGATGTGTTTTGTGTTTGCAGATCCATGTGGAAGCATCACTGGCACAAGCTTTTGAAGCCAAACTCTAATGTGATCGCAGGACGGATCGTGTGGCATGTTTATCTTTTATAGTTTTCATCTGGTCTTGAATTTTGATTTATTTTTCCTTTGCCTTGGGACTTTTGAGTAATGCTGTGTGTGTGTGTGTGTGTGTGTGTGTGTTTATTTGAATTGAGTCCAGTGTTTATAACAGCCAGGGAATGATCAGGTGTTTGTTTGTATGGTGTGATCATTTGTGTTTATTTGATCGCTAATCATCTCAAGTAGGATATATTTTAATTTTATAACTAGTTTATCAATTGATGATTTAAATTATTAATGTTGACATTTAAAATGTCTTATTTCTCTAAACAATTTTTCATTGAAAGTTTGAAAAAAATCCTACGATGAAACCAATAAGAATGTGGAGCATTTCAGTATTGCATGAATTTAAGAATAGAAACCAAAGCTCAACACATTTTTAATATACTATCTATGCAGTAATAAGCACTGAATAACTTTATTTTTATACAGTTTTCTTTTTGACCCTAATTAAAGTTCTAAAAAGACCACCTGAATAAATTGTAATAAATAAAACAAATCTAACCTATAAAGCACATTACTGTTATATTTAATTTTTAAAATTAAAAAAAAAATGTTTTGCAAAATGTTTTAGTATTATTACTATCTGCCTATTGTACCTGACACTGAATAATACAATGCCATGCTTTTCAGTAACACCCATATTCTTATTCTTATTATTACAATTAATAGTAATCATAAATTGTATTATTTTAAAATAAATTATATTTATATAGCTCTATATTTTCGTGAAATTATATATACAATTATAATCAAATTTATTACAATGCAAATATAATGAATAATATAATTATACATTATATTAAATTATATTAAATTAAATATTAATCTATATTATCAATATATAATTATTATTATTACCATAAATAGTAATCATAGTTAATTATTGTACAATTATAATTAATTTTAGTTAATTATTGTACATTATATATATATATATATATATATATATATATATATATAAAATGTACAATAATTAACTATGATTTTTGGTAATCATAATTAAGAGCAATCCCATTCATAGTAATCATACATTTTATTATTTTAAAATTGTATATGTTAATAATATATACAGTAGGCTATATATAATCTCTCAAATTGAAAAATAATCACAAACAGACATCAAATGAGTATCCATAAATATTTTAATGCGGTGAACATTGCAGAAAAAGTGTCAGCATTTATGATATACGTAAAAAAAAGACATCTTATTTCACAATTTTATAACAGCATTTCATATATTTATCAAACTGTATAATAATTTTAAGTAGGAAAAATTGAAAAAGAACCAGCAGTAACGTCCCGTACACATTCCAAACAAAGTAAAAACAGCTTGACATTTGAACTCCTCTGACAACTTTCTGAGACAAGTGCATTTGAAAGGGCATTTCAGATGAAGAGGCAGCAGCAGCCTGTTCCTGCAAATCATCACTTCACATTCTCTTTGAGAGTCTGCCTGAGCTCCCTGTTGTTTAGGTGGAGGTATTTATTCACCCGGCTGCTATACTTGTTCGTTTATGATCTATAATCCACATGTTTGGGTGCTGTGACTGAAGCCCAGCGTGATGATGATGATGATATCAAACCTTCATCGTTTGGCCTGCTGTTCTAAGGCACCTTCAGCTGTTTGATTGTCTGCAAGTGACATTGTTCCCAATACACAAGCATTTGAGGCACACCTGTCAGAACACATCACAGCACTGGAACATCACCTCCGTGGAAAATCTTGTGGAAAATGGTCTGAAATCGGAATAATTGCAAAGGAATGATGTGGATTTTGTGGACTCTGACTGTCTGTATTATATTCACACCGTCTTCATGGTCTCTAACACTATACTGACGACATTATTTTATAAACTATCGATAATGCACAAGCAAACCATGTAAAATTGTAAACCGCAAAAGTACAGGCACCTCAGTAGATTGTACCACAAAAAAGCATGGAACGATATTTATTTTCGATAAATTAAATTATTAATCTCATATTTATATTAATATCACTTTACAGTATGGGTGTACAAATATATATGTGGAAAATAAATTATCCCAATTTTTTTTTTTTACAAACTCTTAAATATTCAAATCAGATCGTTAGCCAGTCACGTGGTGCGTCTCATTAGCCGCCCCTGTAGAAATCTACATCTGAGTTCATTATTGTCCTCATTCTTAAAGGGACAGTTCACGATAAAAAAAAAAATTTTAAACTGTCATCGTTTACAAACCTGGACAGACGCCATTTAGAATGTAGCACGAGTCTGTGATGGATGGACAGTTTTTTTAAGATGGCATGTAAGTTTGCTATAAAAAGTCCTAAATCAATGTAATTTTCAAAACTTACAGTTTTTGTCTTTGTTTCGTGACTACGTTCTATCCCTCACCGCTTCGTTTTCATTCCCGCCAAAATTAAACCTGGCGCTACCCTGACGAAAACCAAAAACTTGTTTGCATGGAAGAAAGAAAATAACACAAGACTGTTCGCAATGACATGAGGGTGAGTAAAAGTTACATACCGTATTGACCCGAATATAAGACGATGTTTTTTTCTTGGAAATACATCTGAAAAAACGCGGTCGTCTTATATTCGGGGTCTAGACTTTGACATGTCAATAATACACCCACAACAATAGGTGGCGCCAAATACGCATAAAACCAGTGTGCCATGAAATACGTAATGTAATGCGTGTTGTAAAGATCGCGAGGAAATACAAAAGAAAAAGAAAAGCTTACAGCTGCATGAGCCGTGACGGTCACGTTAGCCTGATGGGACCAAACTCTCTTTGTGATTTTAAAACGTAAGACAGTACCCAGATTTGAAGACTACAGTAAGATTTAACTTCTACTGTTAATAAGAGTTTGGTAGGCTACTATTAGATGGATAGCCTAAATGTCCTAATTCAGATGGGCTACCTGGTTTTTTTTTTTTTTAATGGTATATCAAAAAGTGTATATTTTAAATGTGATTGTTGGTACATTTGACCAGTTTTTACCATACTTTCAAAACAAAAATGAAAATAGGAAAAATATGCAATATGAAAATAATTGAAGACAAAATGTGTTTCACTGAGAAAAAACAAGATTTGGTTTTTAAAAAGCCTTTTTCCAAAAGGTACATCTGGAAAAAAGGGGGTTGTCTTATATTCGGGCAAATACGGTAATATTCATTTCTGGCGAACTGGCCCTTTAATTAAACTATTTAAGCTATCCAGAGGACACTTTCCCTCTCTAGACAATTACAGTAATAAAAACCTCTTTATAATAACTTGATTGACATATACATACCAACACAACTCTTACTAGAACTTTAATAGGTTCTTATATGGTAACTTGTAGATTAGATTAGATATTATTGATTGCATTTATCGCTTGAGTTGTACTGTAGAAGATGATTTGGTGTATTGCTCTTTGAGCACATTTTGAATGTCACTAATTACTAAAGAGATGCTTTAAACATTGATATCTCAAGTAATACTTCAGTGCCTGAGAGAAATCATGTCATTATGTAATGCCAGTGATATATGACAGAACAGAACAGTAAGGCAAACTAATATTTCAGAAGGGTAAAATTGTTGTAAATTAAATAATTTTATGGTACATTCTCCCTTAATGAGAAAACATGACCCTTTAAAAATCACAAAATTCATATTTGTCTCCTTGTTCTCAGAAATGGCTCATCATTGTTATACAGGTATTAAAACCTGATGTTCAAGTTGTTTTTCTGCATTTGACCAAATTTTTTTCAGTTCCGTGTCGGTCCTTTAAGAAGAATGTTACTGGCCTCTGGCTTGTGTCGCGTCACGTCCGTTCTGTCCTTCAACTCTGTCCCAATAACACTGTTAACAGCAGTGAATCAAGCATAAGCCGTTCTGGGATGCATCAGCGTTCAGTAGGTGCATTCAAGTCAGCACAAATACTCAAATGCTGTTGACCTCGAGTACTCTCACAGTTTGTTCCAATTAAAGCAGTTCTTTCTTCTTCTGAGGGTTTTATTAAGGCGCTAAGATCCGCTCATATGTGAACGTGTTGGGGAAACATAAGGCAGAATATTAATATCTTCATATTGATATGCAACCTGCAGAAAATTTCCTCCAACGCTCCATTTTGAGAATGGCTTCTTCAGAAAAAAGTGGGAAGTCTCCGACCAGCGGCAACCTTCTTTTAGAGCCAGGTAAATCCAGATCTTTGCAAATCTTACAGTGCTGTGTAAAACTAATTTGAGCTCCAAATGAACAGGAACACCTGAACAGGTGCGCCGTGGCCTCTCATCTCTGGGCTCTTGCATTTTGGGGTCTTTCATGAGGAAAAAGGAAGTTGTAGAGCGTCGTCACTAGCTGGAACAAACCCATCTGGCCCCTTTGAGTGAACTGCACAAAAATAATCAGGTAAAAAAATGTTAACGTGGGTTAAAGAAGACATTGCATTTTATTAGCCAAGAGAGGCATTATTATAAAACTATATCTTTTAAAAATGTAATTAAGTAATTGTATTAAAGTCCACATCAATAGGCATTCACAACCCATTTTACTTCCATAATGTGACATTTCTAAGAGGAAAGTGTTTTTAGAAGGTTCCATTACTTACGTTAATAACCTAAAATGCCAATCATGACTTAATAGCAATTTAATTATTGGTTAACTTTATTTTCCCCTTGTGGAAATGGAAAGTTATTTTAAATAAATCATGCTCAGTAAGACCAGGAGCATCTATTAAGAAAGTAAACAGAGTCAAAATGGCATGTGTCTGCCATTAGATGGAGCTCTGGTTTCAAGCTTCACTTCAAACTCCTCCCCTTCCCTCTAAATCTCCCTGATTAACAGTTAAAGCAGCCAATCAGCTGTGTTGTGGGCGTGTGTTGTAGTTCTTGAGTATTGCAGTGTATTGCATAAGCTGGCGCTCTTACTGAAGGCATGCTGGATTTAAAAGAGTTAGCAAACTGTAATTATGATTAACCAATTTAAATGATCCTGACCCATTTATTCCTAGTTGGACTGTCATCTTTCAAGTTTTTTAATTAAAATGATTCAGCCCGTTTGATCTGTGAGGACATGAAGTTTCCATTTTTGATCGTATCTGACCTCATGACGGCTGATTTCTACACAATTCACGGTCTATAAAATCTACAATCTGCAAGTGCATTAAAACATCTCAGTTGTAGCGGCTCAGCAACATACAGAGTGTTACTAAAGGTGTTACATTAGCCTACTTTTGAGATTGTGGTCACATGCCTGCTGACGTGGACCTTGAGTCAGAGTCTAAATTTAGCCTGCAGTATAAACTCACTTCACATCCTCTTTCTGAGATCACACACAAACTACAGCCGGCCTGGGTAGACATTCAATTCAACTGGCATTTACTGAAGACCTTGAGAAATCTAACTTTATCCCTCCTCTCTCATACAAAAAGTAAGCGTTAAAAGTCACTTTGAATGAATAAATGTGAATAACTCTCACACACGGAAAATGTTTACGTCTAGCAAAACTAAAACTCATCACTTTATTGAAGCAGACCATGTTGTTTTCATCTGCTGTTTTTAATTTAAAAACTACAGAACGCATAACTTAATATAAATTCTTCAATGGCCATATTTACATGATAAAATGGCACTTTTTAAAATTAGTATACTCTCCTATATCATTGTTATTAACCCCCGCGCCCCTCAAAAACACTTTAAACTAATGTAACTTGACCACAAACCTTAATTAAAACCAAATAATGGTGTTTTCAATAGTCATGCAGACTGTAGTTTTATAAATAGTTAAAAAAGTAAAACTAATTGTTTTACGACTTTGTACATTTATACATAAAGTTGTTATAAAAACATCAACTAGTGATTAAACGTTTCCATCATTTACTGTAAAGTTATTGGTGTCGATTTGATAAGATCTAAGAGAACTTAAGTAAACAGGATGGCTAAACCAATAATGATGTCATCTCTCCCACTGAGCATTTGCATATGCAGCATTGAAATAACAGACGATGATGTCATTGCACATCGTGACAGAAACCACTGCAATGAAAACCACAGACTTTGTGCACAAACACCTGTGGAGCCGTTTAACCCGTTTGATTCAAATCGGCCTTGAGGAAAAGAAACGAACTAGTCTCATCTGAAATCACTCTTACCAGCTGAAGATGATCCTGCTGAAACTGATCCCCCATTTCACGCAGTTTACGTCCAATCTGAATCTCCACACTAATTCCCACGTCACGTTCGTCTTCCTTTTCTTCTGGTCTCCCTTCGTCCTCTTCTGCGTTTTGTGTGCCATCCAGGAGGGGTTCAAACAGTGCGGGGAAGTGTGCACGAAATCCAGCATTTCCTAAAGGATAAAAACAATATTTATATTTTTATATTGTACGATAATAATTACTATTAAAGGGTTAGTTCACCCAAAAATGAAAATTCTGTCATTAATTACTCACCCTCATGTCGTTCCAAACCTGTAAGTCCTTTGTAACACAAATTAAGATATTTTGGATGAGATCTGAGAGCTTTCTGACCCTCCATAGACAGCAAGGTAACTACCACGTTCAAGGCCCAGAAAGGTACCAAGAACATCGACAAAATAGTGCATGTGACATCAGTGGTTCAACCGTAATTTTATGAAGCTATGATAATACTTTTTGTGCGCAAAAAAACAAACAAACACAACGTCATGTTACTCTCACTAATGGCGGTAGATGGTAACTCGGGGGAGAAGAATTGTTGAATAAAGTCGTTATTTTTTATTTCTTTGCGCACAAAAAAATATTCTTGTGGCTTTGTAAAATTACGGTTGAACCACTGATGTCACATGCACTATTTTGTCGATGTTCTTGGTACCTTTCTGGGCCTTGAACGTGGTAGTTACCTTGCTGTCTATGGAGGGTCAGAGAGCTCTCGGATTTCATCCAAAATATCTTAACTTGTGTTCCAAAGATGAACGAAGATCTTACGGGTTTGGAACGACATGAGGGTGAGTAATTAATGACAGAATTTTCATTTTTGGGTGAACTATCCCTTTAATATATTATTTTAATATTAAAAAAATGTTTAGGGATTAAATTAAAAGAAAATCATTAACTTGATTTTAATTTGTAACGTTAAAGGTGCCATAGAATGGAAAACTGTATTTACCTTGGCATAGTTGAATAATAACAGTTCTATGCATGGAAATGACATACCGTGAGCCTCAAACACCATTGTTTCCTCCTTCTCATATAAATCTCGTGCATGCAAAAGACCACTGAAAAATAGGCGAATCAGAACATAACACCGACTGTGACATTACAGTCGGGATTACTAATAGTTACGCCCCCAACATTTGCATATATCCGCCCATGTTCTATGCCAGCCGCCAGCCGGACCTGCACAACCGAATCATCAGAAGTTCTGCACATATTGTGAAGAAACAAGCGAGGATAATAGCAAAAATGGCAGATCATGGAAATAAATTTTATGTTCCAGGCTGTGCAGGGGATGTGAAGTGCAGGGATAGGTTGGTGTGTATATTCAGAAAGGCACGGAAAACAAATTACGCGCGTTCTAATAAAATAATGCGAGCCACTAAAGGGACATGTTAGCTGCTTGCTAGCGGTAGCCTGTTACATTACAGTACATCAGATTTCACTTACCACATTAACAGAGTAAGGAGAGATGACTGAGGATGATGGCGAATGATTTACAGATCCTGAGCACCACTGACAAGCATCTGATCTTGTAAAATTTGTGGTAAGTACTGCCGCTGTAGTTTACACAGAGCACGTGCGATCGCAAATCTCGAAAGTGAAAGTAAAAAGCGATCGTGCATTCGCAAGCAGTTTTAATGCGCCGCATATTAATAGCGGCTCCCTGATGCCCGCATTTTATATACAGTATAATTACCGAACGATATAACTGCGGGAGACAGTATTGAAATATATATTTTCCCTCTGTTTCCTTCCTGCTGTGTGAGCTACTGAAATGAGCCGCACTGGTATAATTACCGAACGATATAACTGCGGGAGACAGTATTGAAATATATATTTTCCCTCTGTTTCCTTCCTGCTGTGTGAGCTACTGAAATTAGCTGCACTGTGAAACAGCCAATCAGAGCAGAGCTCAACATTATTATTCATGATCCTTCCAAATAAGGTAAAAACAGACCATTTCATTCTAGGAACAAATCCTTGGGTTGTAAATGGACATGTAAAACCAGATTTTTTGTCCTTACCTAAGCCACATACCTTCTAAGTAGATATCGGAGAACAATTTAAAATATCGTATCAATGCATTCTATGGCACCTTTAAGTTTCAACACAACTTTATTTTATTTTTTAAATTGAAATGCTCAGGGCAAAAATTTAAATTTAAAATAAATGTTTTAACTGTTATCATAATATATTCTATTATATATATACATATATATATATATATATATATATATATATATATATATATATATATATAATATGAATATGAAACATTTTTTAATAAATATAAAATATTACTGTAAAAATCATATAAAAATATTTTCTATCTATATATAGATCAATAGATAGATAGATAGAAAAAAATGTTATTTTTACATTAATATTTCATATTTATTTAAAAATGTTTCATATTCATATTTTATATTTATTTTATATAATATTTGATCTAATATCATAATATATTCAGAAATTAAAAAAATTCCAGGTGTACATATTGTGATGCATATATGACTATATGATGCATATTTTGTTTCCCTACCATGAAAAAGTGCTCTTGGCCCTTCTGAGGCCCCAGGGGCCATAGTAAGTGACGCAAGGCCCCCGGTTCCACAGTTAACCCCAAATGCAGTCCTGGCATCCACAGCTCTGCAGGGAGATGATGCATCTCCCTCTAAACCCTGGAATGGTGCCATATCTCCGTTTCTCACTGAATTCAGCACAGAGCTGGCAGTCTGCGTTGATCTGTCTTCAAAGCGTCCGTGTCTGTTAGCTGTTTGTCCCACCTCTCCACCTCTCCCGTCTCTGTTCTCTGAGCTCTTGTTTCTTAGCGGTGTTTCACAGCAGTGAGGAAGCTGTTCGTCCTCCTCATCATCCATCGGCGGAGTCAGCAAATCCACCCTGAAATATACCACGGATTGTCACACTGTGCAACTGTATGAGAATTCACATGCTGTTCATTGATTCTGTATTACATAATATGACATGGAGCCTCAAAAAAACTTCAAAAAACTATTCTTTCTAATGCAGTTGTTTTGCTTCAGGACATTAAGTGGCGACCAAACACAATGGCAAAATTGTTAATGTGCTACAAAGTAAACAAAATCAAAGATTTGAATGTATTATTTATTTATTTATTGGGTAGCTATTGCCAAATGACAGATCATTTGATTGGATGCACAGTTTTGGACATAAACAACTTAAAAAAAAATTTTTTGAAAAGTTGATAAGCTTATTTATTTTTCTATCCCAAATTATGCACAAGTATAGTATGTTCTCCGCAACTCCCACATTCACAAAAACAAATAACCATGGCTGATCTAGATGGCTTTTGGTTCTATTTGGTTTATCAATGAATAATTCAGATCTGACAGTAGATCGGCTCATAAAGTGCAACTTCTGGCGTCAAAGTGCAGCAGTGAGATGACTAATCACAAACATTTCAAAGGAGCCTCATTCAAATGAGGGGACGTTTCAGGCCTGCACTCAGGGGTTCTGTCTACCGCCGTTTCCCAGAAAACAATACCATTCATATCTGCACCTTCATAACAAACAAATCCGTTTATGAAGTGTTCATGAATAATCTGGTCACCTGAGAGTTACAATGCAGATTAGTACAGATGCTTTCAAAGAGAATAGTTTCATATAATACATGGCAGCTGCAGTAAAATGAGTCAAACTGAGAGATTGCATGACGAGTTTTGAGGCATTTGTTCTGCTGAATTTGTTAGCATGAATGCTGTAGTCATCAGAACAAATTATCATTTAAAAAGTGTAATTCTATTAATAGAGATTATCATATGGACAGATGATTATTAATGAGAATAACATTCTTAATCCCTGCTGAAAAACCAGCCCAAGATGGTTTGCTGGTCTTAGGTGGTCTCCCAGTTTGGTTACCCTTGTCAATTGGCTGGTTTTATAGAGGGTTTTTTCAAGAGGCAAACAGAAAACCAGCTTGGCCAGGTTGAAAGACTATTGCAGACCATCATAAACCACTCTTATTATTTAACAAACCATTTTAGGCTGTTTTTTTTTCTTCTTCTTCAGCAGGGAATTCAAAATAAAGCATATTCCACCAAGTAATACCATAGAAAAAACAAATGCATAAAAAATCAGGACCACATGAGCCTTAATGTGATTGTCACTTTTTGATATTTCAATTTTATAAACTTCAGATGGGCAAATCAGAATATCATGTTGGGGATATTTCAGTGTGTTGTGATCTTTATTCTGTCATTTAACATTTTTGTCACTCTCTTTCACAGATCAGGTCACTGAAACTTAGTTTTTTAAGGACAAAAACAGAATCATTTCAGTTCTAAAACTGTAGTAAATCACAGAAATCACAAAAAATACACAATGAAACTGCAGCAAATAAAAGACAGAAACGAGAGACACTCACCGCCAGTGCTTGAATGTGTGTGTCAGTGCTGTTTTTATTCCGCTTTTTGTATCAGCGCTCTTTTATTCTGTCTTCACTCTGCTTGTATTTACCATCACGAACTCGCTCCGCTTTCATTCTGCGCCCTCCGCTCGAGTTGTTCGTATTGGACACGAGCGCACAGAAAGCCACGCCCACCATGGATATGGTAATTACTCGAGCGCGAGGCGGCGTGCTGTTGGTGCCCGTCGAGGGAAAAGGTCAGTTTAGGGTTTGTGTTGAACAAACCTTGTATCGAGCGCTGTATTTCAGCAGTTTCAGTAGGTTCAGACTGTTGAGATTAGCGGCTACGTTATTTAAAGGAAACGCTTTGGCGTTGGATTTGTTGAAAGACTTTCAAAAGTGCTTTAAACTCATCAAAATGAGTGAAAAGCACGCTTCCATTGACAGCCTTAATTAGCTAAAGTAATTATGTATTTCTGACTGAAAGTTTTCCAACTATAAAATTGCAAGTTTTTCATTATTATAGATTTCATTATAGATTTTTGGAGGATTTGTAGATCTTTTAAATTATATTCACAACATGATATGTTCCTGGAACTTGGAAAATGAAAGCTGGCAGTTTGTGTAGGCACTTCTGGGAGCATTGTGTAAATATATATATGTAGAGAGAGATAAATATATTCACCTTTTGTTTTTATGGAAGAAAGATAGACACATGGGTTTGGTACAGTGTGTTTAATTTTCACTTTTTTTGTGCATATTAATTAAACACCCCTAACCCGTAGCCAACCAAGAGTGAACATTTTCTGAATATGAAGAGTCTTCAAATGTAATTTAATTTTGTAGTCAATGCAAATCCTTAATATTCACAGGAAACCTTGTTTTGTTTTTATGGTTTTGTAATGGACAAATACACTGACCTTGACATCTGTCAATCTGACAAGTTTTTCTTTTTCCTTTTTGTTAAAGGGGTCATATGATGCGATTTCAATTTTTCCTTTCTCTTTGGAGTGTTACAAGCTCTTGGTGCATAAAGAAGATCTGTAAAGTTGCAAAGACTAAAGTCTCAAATCCAAAGAGATATTCTTTATAAAAGTTAAGAGTCAACCACGCCTACATAAAACGGTTCGTTCAAACACGCCCCCACATGTCTACCTCACTATGTGGGAAGATTTGCATAACGCCGCCCAAATGTTCACGCAAAGAAAGAAGGCTTTTATTCTCGCTGTTGTATTGTTGCCGCCGCCGCCATGTCATGAAGCGCTGTGTGTTTCCTAAACCGCATAAACACATTTCATTACACCAAATACACAAAATAATGTTCTTTTTAGCAACATCAAATGACCCTTTTAACATTTTTGGACAGAGGAATATATGTGGCTATTATGATCCATTTGTACACATTTCCATTTTTGACATTTTTGTGCATGCATATTTTCTGCTTGAGCCACAATTCAAGTGCACGGTTCAAGTGCACTTGTTGTAAATGGGAAGTGAGTCACCTGAATATCACAATCTTCCTGTTCTCACTGGCTTCTGATGACATCATCCTTTCTGTCAGCCACTGGGCTCAGCATTCCTGTGCACACTGTTACCATGCTTCTCAACCACGAGGTTGCAATGGCCAATTTAAATATGAAAAACTGTGCTAGTTAACTCTAAAACAGAATGTGTTGATTGACATGTAAAGGAAGAATAGTTTTTGTTTTGTAATAGATTGTTTAAAGCCTGCATACTAAATAGTCAGTACAGGCCAACATATTGCTGGCAGGGATTTCAGTTTGCTAAAATGTTGGGATGGTTTCAGATGAGGATGAGGTACAGACAAATCACTGACTAGAGGAAGAGGATTGAAATAGACTCAAAGTGACTCTGTTTCTACGGTAACTGTGGATGGGGAGCTACAAGATGAGAGCCAGGCAAAACAAATGCTGGCGCTGCCTCCGTGGCAACAGCTACATCATTGGTTCCTGTTTCATAGTAAAGACCCGTTAAAAAAAAATAAAAAATCACAAGAGGCCCAGGAGACGCCTCCCTCAAAACTGCATGTTGCATCAGAAAGATCCTACAAGAGGAAGAGCTAAACACACAAACACATCACATGCTCCACTTCACTCTACAGCACCCCCTCCTTCCTCCCCGCTCTCCCGCCAAAACATCTCAGCAAGTAAAGCCTGCCTAGAAACCAAACAGCTGACTTCGGCCTCACTGTCATTGGTGCAGCTCCCTAGCAACGGAGTGTGTTTATTCAGCCAATCAGGCGCTGGGTTCTCAGCACTTTCAACCAATGGCAGGTGACCCCAGCTTACTTAGGCAGCAGTGACTTGGTAACTGTCCGGCAGAACAGAAAGCAACTGTGATTGGTCAGAGCAGCTCTGCATCCTGATTGGCTGCTCATGACGATCTCCCAGTCATTCATATGTTTTTGTGGCTGCCCTGAAGGAATACACCCACAGCTGAAGGTCAACTTCTCTTCATGCTGATTGGTCGAGCAACAGCATGGACTCCTAGTAACAAACCACAATTGCTAAAACAGGGTGTGGTTAGGCTTCTGTCAGTCATCCAAATGCTAGCCAAACAAAACATGATGTTGTTGCTGCCATTCTGCAAGAAGTATTATGTATGACAAACAGGCCTTCATTAACACACTTTTTGCACTTGCAATATCTGGGAGTAAAATGACTCAAAATGTTGCTGGCGCAGTATCACAGTACGTGATTTCTTAATGCTTGTTCACACACGTATTTGTATTACTGTGACAGTGTTTGTTGAGATTCACTGCTAATATCTGTGCAGCTACTGATCAGAGTCTCTTATAAATTTACATTAAGCTTTTGTTAGTTTAGTTGTTTACATTTACAGGGAAAACTGTTGAAGTGAAGATGTAAGAACTTATTTGTTCTTAATTTTAGCATTTACAATGTTATGATTGTGGTCTAGCTGGTCCTTTTTTCCTTTTTTCCAAACAGTGTTTACTTGTCATTCTGCTCTGTTTAAACTTTAGATGCGTGTTGAGCGGAGCTTGAGTCACCTAGCAAGAAGAATGAGTCCCCAGACGAGCAGCTGCAGCTCAATGAACACAGCCGAAGACAAATCAGAAGTGACATCCTGGCTGTAAGATTGCATGACATCATGCTTGAGGGAAGACAGATTAATATGTCAAATCTGAATCCGAAGGACCTGGCAAATGATCAGTCTCAATGATCTAGATAAATATAATCAGTTTAATAAGTAAAGTCGTTGTTTTTTTTTTTAAAGCTAATTGGAATACTTTTAAATTAGAAGCCTCAGTGGCCTATGTCTAAGTCGTATGTCTACAGATATTTAGTCAAATCTTTGATTTATATGGAAACTGCTGTAAGAAAATCTCTGGCCTTTTCACCTCTAACCACAGTATTAGGAAAGCTTACTGTTTAGATGTGTAGGATGCCTGTAAAAGACATCTATACACATCCACCACAGACAGTACTTGAAGCTGTTGTTATTGTAAGCTAAAACTATTTTAAAAAATGGTAATCTTAAATCATATTCAGATTATTCAATTTGATGTTTGAATTCTAGTCATTTGTGCACCTTCAAGATGATTTGAGATAGAGAAAAGGTTTTAGCCTACTGATTCTAAGCACTGTTTTAACTCTTACTAGACTAGGAAATCCATTATGTGTCAAATTTTGACATATTATTATTATTATTTATTACTTTACATCTACTTTCCTTCATTATTATGAGGTTTGTACTGTTAAAAATGCTGTGACAACTTTAAGACTCATGCTCCTCACAACGTTTACAATTGAAAAGTCAAAGATTTTAAAATTAATGTCAAATTTGAACCAGAAGGAACAAAGAAATGATCCATCTCAATGATCTGGATAAATATAATCAGTTTAATAAATAAAGTCTCTTTTATTTACAAGCTAATTGGATTACTTTCCAAAACATTAATACAGCAGGCTGCTTTAAACTCTTTTAACTGTTAGCCACAATGGCAATAATGTGCCTACATTTACTCAAATCTTCAATATATAAGGAAACTGCCCTCTTAAAAGTCAAAAAAGATGGTAAAATGTGTTAAACGCAGCTAGGAGTACAACATACAGCAACTCTTAATGGTAGCTGCAAACAGTAGGTAAAGTAGCCAAAGTATTTCATAAATCAAGCTTCTGTACAAGCATATAGGTATGTGTATGTGTATAAATCACTATTGGAAATCCCAGAGATGATGTCAATAACAGGAGCTCTGGATCAAAGGAAACTGCTCCATCCTCAGCCGGAGCCCAAGGGGAAGATGGTGACAGGGGGATGTCAGCAAACTGCAGCCTGGCATCCAATTGGGTCCCCCGGGATCTCCTGTGTTGAGCCACCTGCATGTGTGTTTGAGTTCATTGAGAGAACAGATGTCCCACCACCACAGTACCACAAACTCAACTGAGCTCTAAAAATAGAAGAGAAAGCAGCACACATTCCTGAGGTGTGAAGTGTGAGATAAGCAGTTTTGTTCTCAGCTGTGTCATACAGTGGGTGTCCCTATACAAATGCCAAACCACCGTTTATGTGTGTCCTGTAATGACTTTAATCAGTCTGAACATATTTTGCCAGCACTGGACATTCTTTTCACATTTAAGTTCTCAAAATCTGGTTTATTGAGGTCAGATCTCAATTTAAACTTGATTTCCTTTTATGAAAAAAAACCCCCAGCAATGTCTTTCAGGGTATTAATTGGCTTCACAGTGTTAGAGAAAAATGTAATGGCGTCCTCTACTGGTGATACGGTCACACTGCACCCAAATATCTGCGTTACTATCCCTTCATGAAAAGAAGCATGCACACGCTTAGACTTTCTGAAAGTTTATTCCAAAATATATTCAAATATACATAATATTAATGAAACAGTGTGATCTTTTTAGCTCATATAATAATTGGGGTGAGGGGTAAAAATGGCGAATGGAAAATTAACCATGGTTTTACCACAAATAAAACTAAAAAAACATGGTTACTAGCCTACAGTTAAACCGTGGTTTTGCTACACTAACCATAATTTAACCATGGTATTTGTAGTAAAACTGTGGTTATACAAATGGCAATCAATACTCCAAAAAAAACATGGTTACTACACTTTTACTACAATAAAACCATGGTTAATTTTCTGGTCAAATTCGCATTCCAGAGGCTAAAAAACTCTTTTAATACGTGGCGCGATGTTCAAACAACACCCAGGCAGAAGAGCCCAGAATATGAACGCACAAAGTTTTACGTTAAGTAACTGTTAACGATACAAAAATGTTAAACGACAGATTAATTTTCAAGGAGACATACTACTGGCCTTTTCGAATTTCTCTGATTTTAATGCCATTTACGTTATTAGTCACCAGTGTTGGGGGTAACTCATTACAAGTAACGCGAGTTACGTAATCAGATTACTTTTTTTCAAGTAACTAGTAAAGTAACGCATTTTTTTAATTTACAAGAAAATATCTGAGTTACTTTTTCAAAAAAGTAACGCCAGTTACTTTGTTTTCCCATTTATTGACTGACAAGTCTCCTGTTCCCATACTGGGAGAAATCAGGAGTACAGAGGCGTTGAGTGCGCTGTGTGAACCTGATGTTACTGTAGTTCTAGACTAGATGTGAATGTGCATCAATTCATACCACACACAAAAAACTGATTTAGTATTCATCAAAATGAATTAAAACAGTGAAATGCAAACTCAGAATATGACACAAACCTGCAATAATTAAATATGTTAAATAACACAAATGTATCTAGTCCCATTTTATTAACCAATGTCTTTGCTGCTGACCTTTGCTGATCCAGTTCAACCGTACTAATAAGCAAAAATGACTTTAGATAAACTACCAATTGTGCTTTGTTTTTTCTTCTCCTGCGTTCTACTGTACAGACGTGAATTTACTTTGGCTTCTGCCTGAGGTTTATTCATTACACTTTTTGGTGTGAAAGGGCTTTTATATTTGCTATAAATAGAACTTCTTATATTAAAAACAATCAAGCCCTGCTTATATTTAAAAAGTAACGCGAAAGTAACGCAAAAGTAATATAACGCATTACTTTCCATAAAAAATAACTAAGTAACATAATTAGTTACTATTTTAGGGAGTAACGCAATATTGTAATGCATTACTTTTAAAAGTAACTTTCCCCAACACTGTAAGTCACAATGTAGCCTACATAAACATTAATTTAGCATTTTTCAGCAGACGTAAGATAAGAGTGAATGTTTGTATATCTCTATCCAGGCTTTCTTTCGTGATTTCACGTGTCTAAGAAAATGTTTCTTAAAACTCAAAAATATAATTCTCAAACTTACTCTAGAACATTGTAAATCTGAAGACTTTCGCTTTCAAGTGCCGAGGAAAGTGATATATTGTATTATAATAAAAACTTAATTTGCTAATTAGTTCACATGCATTATTTTATACACTGGCGGTCAAAAGTTAGATCACATCCACAAAAATATGAAGCAACACTGTAATCAACATTGACATCAGAAATGTTTCTTGAGCAGCATATTAGAATGATTTCTGAAGGATCAAGTGACACTGAAGACTGGAGTAATGATGCTGAAAATTCAGCTTTGAGCATAGGAATAAATTATATTTTATATTCGCATAGAAAACAGCTATTTTAAATTGTAACATTATATATTTCACAATATTACTGTTTATTGTATTTTTCATCATCATAAGTATTTTTATACTCTTTTTCATAGCTCTGTTCGATAAAATGACAGGAGATGTCAAGCTCCTGCAAAAGGACAAATATAATAGGTCAAATACTACTGATACATAATAATACTGATAATAATGCATACTGGTAAAAAATGTATAGACTGAATGCACTGTAAGTCGCTTTGGATAAAAGCTAAATGCATAAATTATTAAATTATTATAATAGAAAGACACCATAAAAACAGTCCACATTCTGCACTACATTCCAAGTCTTCTAGAGCAGTGTTATGGACTGATATTTTGGTAGGTATTTAACTTTAGTGATATTAAACTGTCCTTCTATGTAAAAGAGCTGTGTAGAAGTTCTTCAGAATTGTTTACTATTTGCCATATAAAGACAAATTGTAATGTAAAGAGTTTTACATTTTTTCAATAAAAAAAAAAGATAGCAATTTTTATTTCTGTATTGTGTTATATTTTTATATTAGTAAGTGGTGTTAAAAATTGCTCTGTGCATAATGAGCTGGTGGGTTTATGGTGCGGTGTGTTGCGGACCAGGTGTGGTGGGCTGCTCTGTGCCAGAAAGTCCAGAAATACCATGACACATTAGAAGAGCAAATTCAGTATAGCTATCCACCTTTTTCTTGCCGTAAAAATGGCCGCGGCCATTTGTAAATTCTATGGGTCTAGCTTCCGGTCTCATCCGCGTCCAGCTATTTTTAGCTGTACAAAACTGCTTACTTTTGCTGCTTGATATTGAAAATTGGTGTGTCTTACCATATTATTTTAATGTATTATCTTTTAATGAACACACTGGTTTGTAGTGCAAACAGTTTTACCGTTTACTGCATGCTGTTATTCTTCTCGTAATTTCCCAATAGCGGCTAATGAACCGGAAGTCTCACCCATAGGCTTACTTCCACATTGAAGAAAAAGGTGGATACACCTTGATGATGCAAACTGTGTTTTTGAGCCCTGGTCCGCTGCTGCGCTTCTTTGACATCGACGTGTTTCAAATGGCGAACGCTTTAGCAGTTCAGTATGATAACTTGTCACCAGACTTTGCCATGCAATTGCTATCGTTCTTTGTTACAGACTGTCCAGCTGAACTCTTCTGAGTACTGAGAATGCCCATGCATCGACATTAAAGCGCAGTGAAAGACTTTGTGCAAATAATTAGATAGAGTTGTTGCTTGGTTGTTTGTGGGAATCAGTTGATTAAAAGAAAAAATAAGTTAATCGTCATAATGTAGCAAATATCCTAAAGTATTACTGTTCATTTTCTTACTGCAAGACTTGAATTTTACTTGTATAATTTCTTTTACATTTAGCGATGCTTATGTAGGCCATGTTTGAACTGAGACGTGTTCTGCCATTATGAATTTTATTGAGCTTACTATTAAAATATATCAACTGGGGGCCTATAACAGATGTTTGTGTATTATTATTGTTGAAGGATCCTCCTGCTATTGCTAAAATCAAATCGAAGCGGCGGCACTTTTGCCTCCACGTTCATAGATTAGCTTAAATATTTCAGTCTGACTAAAAAGCGATATCAAATGCACATTATATAGCCTATATAATGTTATTCAATAATAACGTCAAATGCATCAATGCAATGATAATTCACCACAATCATTACTGTTAAATCAGTTATGTAACTGGGGGAGACGGACTCAGTAGTATGTTGCAGCAGATGCATAATAACATTTCATACATGATATCACTGCTGGAGAGGCCCCATCTCGTTTGCGGGGGGCCTCACAGATGTGCGGTACGCCACTGAACAACACTAACTTGTTTCTGCAAAGACATTCAGCATGTTTTCTACAAACAATGTCTGACTACGTTTTTACGTCATGTTGACAGGCAAAAAAAGCTATGTAAAATCCGCTCTGAGTGGTCAGACTGAAACGGATTTCCAGAAATGCAATTTGAATTTCAAAGCACGTATGAATGTGGCTTGAAACGGATTTGTACAAATATGATCGGGTTCCAATCACAAAAATCGGATTTGGACCGACAGTCTGAACAAAAGATAGGAATGTTCAGAACATCAGAACACAACGCAAACAAGAATATAATGGTTAATGGATACTTAACCATGTAAAGCCTGACATATGAAATAATAGTCAGAAAAATATTTTTTGCTCTTGTTGTTGTTTTTTGAGTATCATTTTTGATGCACCATGCTTTTATGGCTCATATAGTAGCCTATGAAATAGGAGAATTTGAAGCTTGATAAGGAAAAAACACCTCAGTTTTATTGAGAGGCCCAAACTGAGCAAAAAATATGCAATTTGGTGCAGATGCTGATATTTCTATGGCCAAAAAGTAAGATGAAATTCTGGTAGCTTGTAATGTAAATAAGTGAGATCTGTGTATCTATCAGACTATATACATAAAATGCACATAAATATTAGCTGTCACTCTATATTGCCCAATAATATGTCTTAATAAGATATTTAAATGCTTAGTTTTATGATCAAAGCTCTGTAGTGTCAAAACATAATGCAATGCAATACAATGATGATTGAGAGATGAACAAATAAATGTTTCTCAAATGCTCACATTTGAACATGATTTTTCTAAAAATATGGATAATCAAGTAAGTTGCTTCAATAAAGTAAGTGTTCATCTTGAAATATTATTAACAATATAAACAAGTGAGATCTGTGTATCTATCAGACTATATACATAAAATGCACATAAATATTAGCTGTCACTCTATATTGCCCAATAATATGTCTTAATAAGATATTTAAATGCTTAGTTTTATGATCAAAGCTCTGTAGTGTCAAAACATAATGCAATGCAAAACAATGATGATTGAGAGATGAACAAATAAATGTTTCTCAAATGCTCACATTTGAACATGATTTTTCTAAAAATATGGAAATATGGATAATCAAGTAAGTTGCTTCAATAAAGTAAGTGTTCATCTTGAAATATTATTAACAATATAAAACCATATTTTCATGTTTATAAATATATTTCACAGCAAAAAAAAGACGCGTGATCCGTGACCTGAAGGTGGACATTTTTATGCTTATACTAAAAGGCCTTTTACTCGCTAAAAAAAAGTATAGACGACAGAAGGCATGAAGTACAAGACAGGTTTTTCAGCAAAGGTTTGTTGATAATCATGTTGATAATTTAGCCATAGAAATTTGTGTTTTAAATACGATACAGTAGGTTTTATAAGTTCAAACATTCAAACAAGCGGAGAATATGACCATGCTAAGGTTAAGGTCAGGTCACTATACAATATACATTACAATTGTGTAGTATACAGTAATACAGGTCACTCCACGTATTATCTGAACATTTATTATGTACAAAGAAACAAAAAACAAAATTATTAAGAAGTTACATTTACATTTAGTCATTTAGCAGACGCTTTTATCCAAAGCTAAGAAAAAAAAAAGTTGAACAAAATGAGCTCAACTGAACCTTCTCCAGCAGCATTGATCCATTATGCCATTTAACACAAAAGATGTGTATGAATCACAACAAAATGAGTCATTTTAAATAATCCAAATAAGCTGACTGACGATATGCAAACAGAATTAAACAGAATTGCTTATGTTTGCCCAAACATGATTAAACTGAAATTGCGCTGACTCATTTTTTAATGTAAAGTACTTCTCAAGGAATGTATGTTTGAAAAAAGGACCACATGTATAGCAAATCATGAGTGCCTGCTCCAATATAGTGTAAAATTATCATAATTATCATCAATATTCCTGTATATCATCTATATACAGTATGTACTATATGCGCTTCAGTTCAACACAAAGCCTTTTAAAATGTGGCTGTCCACATGACTGTAAACTCACAAGGTTTGGCTGACGTCCACTGTGGTGACACTCATTTGTTAAACAGATGAATTCCTATTACCGCACTGTGATACTGATATGAACACAGTGCTTGTTTTTACTAATGCCTTGCAACAGATGCTCCTGAGGGGCGTATTTGTGTTCCTAAGAAGGACATAACTGTTATTTGTGGCAGACAGTTGTACTGATCTTTTGATGGTGAAACTGGCAGTGATGGCAAAACATATACTTTGCATTTTAACCCCAGCATGGGAGAAAGTGTCACAGATAGTAACACAAAGTAGTTAAAGTAACAAATTTTGTAGTTTGTAGTCACTTTAACTACTTTACCCAACGTGAGAAATCATGTCACAGTTAGTCACTTTAACTACTTTAATTTACCCAACATGAGAGAAATAACAACAGTTCATTCAAAGGGAAGGTTCACCCAAAAATTAAAATTCTATCATTAATTACTCACCCTCATGTCGTTCCAAACCCGGAACACAAATTAAAATATTTTTGATGAAATCCGAGAGCTTTCTGACCCTGCATAGACAGCAACGCAACTGACACATACAAGACACAGAAAGGTAGTGAGGACATTGTTAAAATAGTCCATGTGACATCAGTGGTTCAACCGTAGTTTTATGAAGCTATTAGAATACTTTGTTGTACGCAAAGAGAACAAAAATAACGACTTCATTCAATGATTTTTCTCTTTCATGTCAGTCTTCGATGCGTGTTCACGAGCGTGTAGTGCTGCTGATGCAGGAGTCGGCGTTCTGACAGATGCGCCTTGTTTACAAGCAGAAGAAGATGCATCATAAACACGTCTGAAGATTTCGACAGAGAGGATGACTTACAATTTTTTGCCCAGCTTTACTTATTTGAACCAGAATATACAGACAATGAACTAAGAGAGATAGCTTCATAAAATTACGTTTGAACCGTAATAAAATAGTCCATGTGATGTCACATGGACTATTTTAAAGGGGTCATATGATGTTGCTAAAAAGAACATTATTTTGTGTATTTGCTGTAATGAAATGTGTTTATGTGGTTTAAGGTTCAAATAACACATTATTTTCCACATACTGTACGTTATTGTTTCTCCTCTATGACCCGCCTTTCTGAAACGCGTCGATTTTTACAAAGCTCATCGGTCTGAAAAATGAGGTGTGCTCTGATTGGCCAGCTATCCAGTGTGTTGTGATTGGCCAAATACCTCAAGCGTGTGACGGAAATGTTACGCCCCTTGCCATATTGTGATGCCGTGTCCGGCCGGAGCGACGAGACAAAAACAGTAAAACCCATTATAAACGAGGCATTTGTTGCATCCAGTGGGGACATAATTACGAATTATAATTATTTATACTGTCTTTTTACGCGTTATGCCAATCTTCCCACATCGTGATGTAGACATGTGGGGGCGTGTTAGAACGAGCCGTTTTAGGTAGGCGTGGTTGACTCTTAACTTTTATAAAGAATATCTCTTTGGATTTGAGACTTTAGTCTTTGCAGTTTTACAGATCTTCTTTATGCACCAAGAGCTTGTAACACTCCAAAGAGAAAGGAAAAACTGAAATCGCATCATATGAGCCCTTTAATGATGTCCTTACTACCTTTCTGGGCCTTGAACTTGTTAGTTGCATTGCTGTCTATGGGAGGGTCAGAAAGCTCTCGGATTTCATCACAAATATCTTAATTTGTGTTCCGAAGATGAACAGAGGTCTTACGGATTTGGAATGACATGAGGGTGAGTAATTAATGACAGAATTTTCATTTTTGAGTGAAATATCCCTTTAACATGTTGACCCAGCACCGCAAGTACATGTAGTCACAATGCAAACCTGCCAATCAATAACAGATTATTCAGCTATACTAACTTGTCTGCAAAATGTAAACAATAAAATCTATTAGAAAGCACAAAACAATTCATGAAACACCAAACAATAGGAAATATACCACAATTTCAGATCATTGCTATTTTAATTAATAATTAATCTAAAACTACAACATTTGAAATAGTTTGAAACTTTTTTTTCCCCCAATATTATCTTGTTTGCTTCTCTATAATGTTTGTCGATGCTTATGTTCATGTAATGATGTCTCTTCTCATGTGCATGCAGCTCAACGTGTGTTTTATTGTCCGGTTGCATAAAAACCACATTTACAGTAGGGCTGTGCAATTAATCGCATGCGATTGTCATGCGCATCTGGTCAGTAAAGCCGGTTCTGTGATTAGTAGTAAATCTCCATCACCTGCTTTCAGATGGAGCGGCATTTACTACACATAGCCGTAGTTCACTGACAATTAGGCAATATCACATTCATTATCGCAGGCGATTCGGCTTTACTGAGGAGATGCGCATGACATTCGCATGCAATTAATTGCAAAGCCCCAATTTTACAAGATTAACCATGAAAACCTATCCAAGCTCTTTTGCTTACTGAGGTCACAGTATAATCATCTAACAGTAAGGAATATGGCTGTTCAGAGTGACTGTCTCATCCCATTGTTCTCTTACAGCTGATTTGCATCCAGAGATGTGATTAACAAAAACAGAAACCCACAGGGGGAGGTAGGAAATGCTACATGCAAAATTATGTACCATCAATATCTCATGAAATGAAAAGTATTTGGAAAGACTCAACGACTCTTCACCAGGTAAGAAGTTTGTTTCAGTTATCTTAGAAGTACACTCTTAAAAAAATAATGTTCTAAAATGTTTTTTTTTTTTTTTTTTGGGGTTCCCCAAAGAACCTTTGAGTGAGCAGTACTTAAAATAACTTTATTTTTCTTAATGTGAAGAGCATTTTGAAAATCTAAAGAACCTCTTTCCACTATAAAGAACCTTTTGTGGAGTGGAAAGGTGAATCCACGGATGTTAAAGCTTGTTTATGGAATCATAGATGCCAATTATTTTTAAGAGTACAGACAAAAATAACCATGATTCAGTAAATGATTTTTACACTTTTGTTCTGGATTAGTCTTGAAGTTTTGCATTGTGGCAAAAATATTTTGCATTGTGGCTGTGATAAATTGTTTGTGCTTTTTCTCATTTCCTTAAATCAGTTTGGATAACAGTATCTGCTAAATGTACAGTTCTGCTCATAAGTTTACATAAGTTCATAAGCTCATAAGTTACAGTATATGCAAATTGTTAATAGTTTTAACAAAATAAGAGGGATCATAAAAATGGTGTGTTAATCTTTTTAGTACTGTCCTGAATATGCCATTTCACATAACACGTTTACATATGAGCAGACTTATGAGCAAACCTATAAATGTACCTCACTACATTGGAACTGGGAGTTGATTTGTTTATTTCATCACAGGTTTATGGCCTTCGATTAAATGTTCCATAACATTTACTACATTCACTATTTGTATCACTTGGACTAAAACATAAAAAATTATATAAAAGTTACAACAAATTGAATAATTCACAGGTGGGCGTATGGTTTATTCACAGTCTAAAAAAAATGTTTTTTTTTTTTTAACATGTCTACAGACACACTTTAGATGATTTTTACACTTTTGTTCTGGATTAGTCTTGAAGTTTTGCATTGTGGCAAAAATATTTTGCATTGTGGCTGTGATAAATTGTTTGTGCTTTTTCTCATTTCCTTAAATCAGTTTGGATAACAGTATCTGCTAAATGTACAGTTCTGCTCATAAGTTTACATAAGTTCATAAGCTCATAAGTTACAGTATATGCAAATTGTTAATAGTTTTAACAAAATAAGAGGGATCATAAAAATGGTGTGTTAATCTTTTTAGTACTGTCCTGAATATGCCATTTCACATAACACGTTTACATATGAGCAGACTTATGAGCAAACCTATAAATGTACCTCACTACATTGGAACTGGGAGTTGATTTGTTTATTTCATCACAGGTTTATGGCCTTCGATTAAATGTTCCATAACATTTACTACATTCACTATTTGTATCACTTGGACTAAAACATAAAAAATTATATAAGTTACAACAAATTGAATAATTCACAGGTGGGCGTATGGTTTATTCACAGTCTAAAAAAAATGTTGGTTTTTTTTAACATTTCTACAGACACACTTTACTGTAAAGTATTTGAATAAAAGTTTGGATGAGTTATTCTTTGTAATTCATTCCCTTGCACATATCCACCTTATTTTAATTTTTTGTCTTTATTCATGCAAAAACAACTTACATAAACTTGTATCAACAAAGTATGGAACAAAAAAAAGACATAAGATATCCACCTTATTTTGCAACATGGAAATAAGCTATTTTCTGTGAATGTGTGAGACATTAGTCGATACAGGTAAATGACTACTAGAAGAATAACAAAGTGTAGTAAACAGTAAAACTCTTTGCGCTGCTAACCAGTGTTTATAATTATGAAAGTTTGCAATATGAAGCAACATAATGGACTGTTTTTGTACAGATATAATAACTGGAAGCGAATGACACCTGAAGCCCCACATAACAGTTATGGACAATTATTCTGTATGCCATATTCTATACTTAAAAATGACAGGAACACTTGCTTCATTCATTCATTCAAAAGAAAAAAGTGTAATCCTTTTAGGGATTTTCCTAAATGTTACTGACAGTTGTTATCATTTGCATTTGAGTTTAAAAGCAAAGCATGGTGTATTTCATGTTTTACACCTTTCTTTCTGCTCTTCAGATGTTATCGAGGAACCTGGAGATCCTGTCAGGGATGAAGTGGAACATTCGTGGCCTCCTGCTTATTTTATCTGCCCTTTTCTGCATATCTGTAGGAGATTCCACAGGTAATATCCCTCCAAAGTGTCCTCTGCACTCAAAATCTGCAGACACAAAAAATGGAAATAAGGAGATGGATATGTTCATACTGGGTTCATGTGGTTTCAAAGGATACATGAAAACAGGTGATTCAAATCAGACACGTTCATGAAAGGGAATGAGAATCAAATGTGTTAATTAAACTTCTATAAAATAAAAATCACTTTTTAGTGGCCAACTTGTTTATCATTTGTCTGTACAGGTAGTTGCAATGGTGATACATGGGGTATTTCACAGAACCAATCAGTGAGCTTACTTCAGTGCGGTTTTAAAGTATCATCAGGTGAGGACTAAATTAAAAGAGAAAAGCTTATATAATATGTACTTTTTTTTTTTTTTTTTTGCATGTCTTCATCACAAAACCAAATAAAAAGCAAACCACAGTGCGTTCCGTTTTAAAACAATTTTTTCTTGATAAAGCAAATGTTATAAAATTGTTCAAAATTACAAGCATTAATAAAAACATTACGGGAACATTACTTTCGAATGTTCTCGGAACTTTCTGAAACAAGAAGTAACATCTTTAAAAAATCCAACTGAAATGTTTTAAAAACACATTCTATGAACAATGTATAAATAATGTTTTGAGAATGTTATTAAAGACCAGCTAACTTTGAACGAATGTTCTGTTAACGTTACTGGAGAACATTTATTTGTTCATAACTTTGAGAGAACATAACATTTCTGAGAACATTCTCAATTAGCTGGTGTTGAGTTGTATGTATTTAAAATGATTGTTTTTTTGTTTGTTTGTTTCAACAGAGAACCTATTCAAAATCTCTGTATTTCCGATTGTTGAAGATGCATTCTGTACAGGAAACACAACACACAGTACAAACACATCCTGTACAACATACAGTAGTGGTGAGTTTGAGAGTATTTGGGCTGCGAGGCTTTCTCTTGCTAGCGCCATGGCCAATAATGAAACCTGTGGATTTGCTTTAGAAATTCATCTGATTTATTATTTATTTTTAATAACATTATAGTATTAAAACAGAATAACCTTGTTTTCTAACCTGTTGTTTTGCAGACTGTGGTGTAACTTTATCAAGACACCCACCTTACAAACTCAACATAAGCAGAAGTGTTATGCCCACATTTGTCTGTTTAATTGAAGGGAAATGTAGAAATTACACTTTGACAAACTGGATTACAAAAGGTAAATGAAAGATCTGTCATTTTGCATCCATGCATTTGGTAACCTGTGATTTTAGAAATGTATGACAACAATCTGTAGTTTTCTTTCAAATGTCCAGTTTCAATTTATTCACTGCATACTTGCTGTATTACAAGAGTTCTGCTTTTTGCAGATCCTATCTGATAGTTAGAAGAATATTTTTGTTCTCTTTATTAAAGGTTGTAACTGGAGCCACCAAACCCCTAAATATTTTGAGAATGCGGGATATGGTGAGTATATTTACTAAAACTTCTATGCATTATATTAATATTAAAGATATATTAGACTAATAAAAGAGTAATTCCTGTAAGTGGAGTGGTAAATCAATCAGTCAGTGACAGACTTAACAGACATTTTAACATTAACCTTATAAATTATTTGCATAGTATACTGTACATGCAATATTATGGCTGTATTATTTGCATAACTTGTAATATTGCTCTTTTTTTGTTTTATATTTCTAAGCATGTAATATGACCTGCCTGAATCCCAGTCAGACGTGTAAGAATGCACAATATGATTCCAGCTGTAAAGGTAAGAATGTGGTATATTATACCTATTTTTGCTTTATTCACTTTCAGAGCAGACTAAATGTGTCATTAAAACCCAGTGCTGCATATTGCTCTTAATTATTTACTTATTTTTCATTTTTATGTTTTTACACAGGTGATAATGTAGGTAAAGAAGGTAATATAAACAGGATTGTGGTCCATAATAAAACTGCAACTTGTTATAAGTGTGGAAGTCCTCTTCAAGATACGCCAAAAATTCAAGCATCCTCAAATGATTTCAATACTAATAAAACAGAGATAGATGCTGCGGCAGCTGCGTAAGTATTTTTTTCTTGTAAGCTTTCAAGTCTAGTAAGGTTTTTAGTGGTATTATTTGTTATAAAATATATGACCATATTCAGGAAGAATGATAACTTGCTGCGCTTAATAATGTAATAGAAATCATTTTAAAAATATAGGAGACTGGGGCTTTCCACAAGGGATTTATCTCATCTATCCCTGTGTCATATCTGCTGTCCTAATGACTGTAAACCAGTGCTAATTTTGACAGCAAATTTTGATTTAGTTTTAGTCATAGTCTTTTGACTAAAATGCCATTTAGTTTTAGTCATATTTTAGTCATCTGAATTGTTTTTAGTTTTAGTTGACTAAATATCATAAGATTTTAGTCAATTAAATCTACAGTAAATTTAGTCGGCTAAAATCTAATGGGTTTAGTTACAGTGCATTTATTAAGCATTTCTCTAAAATGTCCAAACTCATTATATAGGTTTGATATTAAGGTTTTGTCATGATAGACACCGATTTAACTGCGGTGACACACAACATGCCTTTGTGTTAAAATGAGATAAAACCACTTCTCATAAAGAACAAGAACATGGTCTTCTTTTTAATGAAATGCCAATGATTATATCGGCTAATTTTGCATTCTTTATAGCAACTTGTTTCCCATATTTTAACATTTCTACAGACACACTTTACTGTAAAGTATTTGAATAAAAGTTTGGATGAGTTATTCTTTGTAATTCATTCCCTTGCACATATCCACCTTATTTTAATTTTTTGTCTTTATTCATGCAAAAACAACTTACATAAACTTGTATCAACAAAGTATGGAACAAAAAAAAGACATAAGATATCCACCTTATTTTGCAACATGGAAATAAGCTATTTTCTGTGAATGTGTGAGACATTAGTCGATACAGGTAAATGACTACTAGAAGAATAACAAAGTGTAGTAAACAGTAAAACTCTTTGCGCTGCTAACCAGTGTTTATAATTATGAAAGTTTGCAATATGAAGCAACATAATGGACTGTTTTTGTACAGATATAATAACTGGAAGCGAATGACACCTGAAGCCCCACATAACAGTTATGGACAATTATTCTGTATGCCATATTCTATACTTAAAAATGACAGGAACACTTGCTTCATTCATTCATTCAAAAGAAAAAAGTGTAATCCTTTTAGGGATTTTCCTAAATGTTACTGACAGTTGTTATCATTTGCATTTGAGTTTAAAAGCAAAGCATGGTGTATTTCATGTTTTACACCTTTCTTTCTGCTCTTCAGATGTTATCGAGGAACCTGGAGATCCTGTCAGGGATGAAGTGGAACATTCGTGGCCTCCTGCTTATTTTATCTGCCCTTTTCTGCATATCTGTAGGAGATTCCACAGGTAATATCCCTCCAAAGTGTCCTCTGCACTCAAAATCTGCAGACACAAAAAATGGAAATAAGGAGATGGATATGTTCATACTGGGTTCATGTGGTTTCAAAGGATACATGAAAACAGGTGATTCAAATCAGACACGTTCATGAAAGGGAATGAGAATCAAATGTGTTAATTAAACTTCTATAAAATAAAAATCACTTTTTAGTGGCCAACTTGTTTATCATTTGTCTGTACAGGTAGTTGCAATGGTGATACATGGGGTATTTCACAGAACCAATCAGTGAGCTTACTTCAGTGCGGTTTTAAAGTATCATCAGGTGAGGACTAAATTAAAAGAGAAAAGCTTATATAATATGTACTTTTTTTTTTTTTTTTTTGCATGTCTTCATCACAAAACCAAATAAAAAGCAAACCACAGTGCGTTCCGTTTTAAAACAATTTTTTCTTGATAAAGCAAATGTTATAAAATTGTTCAAAATTACAAGCATTAATAAAAACATTACGGGAACATTACTTTCGAATGTTCTCGGAACTTTCTGAAACAAGAAGTAACATCTTTAAAAAATCCAACTGAAATGTTTTAAAAACACATTCTATGAACAATGTATAAATAATGTTTTGAGAATGTTATTAAAGACCAGCTAACTTTGAACGAATGTTCTGTTAACGTTACTGGAGAACATTTATTTGTTCATAACTTTGAGAGAACATAACATTTCTGAGAACATTCTCAATTAGCTGGTGTTGAGTTGTATGTATTTAAAATGATTGTTTTTTTGTTTGTTTGTTTCAACAGAGAACCTATTCAAAATCTCTGTATTTCCGATTGTTGAAGATGCATTCTGTACAGGAAACACAACACACAGTACAAACACATCCTGTACAACATACAGTAGTGGTGAGTTTGAGAGTATTTGGGCTGCGAGGCTTTCTCTTGCTAGCGCCATGGCCAATAATGAAACCTGTGGATTTGCTTTAGAAATTCATCTGATTTATTATTTATTTTTAATAACATTATAGTATTAAAACAGAATAACCTTGTTTTCTAACCTGTTGTTTTGCAGACTGTGGTGTAACTTTATCAAGACACCCACCTTACAAACTCAACATAAGCAGAAGTGTTATGCCCACATTTGTCTGTTTAATTGAAGGGAAATGTAGAAATTACACTTTGACAAACTGGATTACAAAAGGTAAATGAAAGATCTGTCATTTTGCATCCATGCATTTGGTAACCTGTGATTTTAGAAATGTATGACAACAATCTGTAGTTTTCTTTCAAATGTCCAGTTTCAATTTATTCACTGCATACTTGCTGTATTACAAGAGTTCTGCTTTTTGCAGATCCTATCTGATAGTTAGAAGAATATTTTTGTTCTCTTTATTAAAGGTTGTAACTGGAGCCACCAAACCCCTAAATATTTTGAGAATGCGGGATATGGTGAGTATATTTACTAAAACTTCTATGCATTATATTAATATTAAAGATATATTAGACTAATAAAAGAGTAATTCCTGTAAGTGGAGTGGTAAATCAATCAGTCAGTGACAGACTTAACAGACATTTTAACATTAACCTTATAAATTATTTGCATAGTATACTGTACATGCAATATTATGGCTGTATTATTTGCATAACTTGTAATATTGCTCTTTTTTTGTTTTATATTTCTAAGCATGTAATATGACCTGCCTGAATCCCAGTCAGACGTGTAAGAATGCACAATATGATTCCAGCTGTAAAGGTAAGAATGTGGTATATTATACCTATTTTTGCTTTATTCACTTTCAGAGCAGACTAAATGTGTCATTAAAACCCAGTGCTGCATATTGCTCTTAATTATTTACTTATTTTTCATTTTTATGTTTTTACACAGGTGATAATGTAGGTAAAGAAGGTAATATAAACAGGATTGTGGTCCATAATAAAACTGCAACTTGTTATAAGTGTGGAAGTCCTCTTCAAGATACGCCAAAAATTCAAGCATCCTCAAATGATTTCAATACTAATAAAACAGAGATAGATGCTGCGGCAGCTGCGTAAGTATTTTTTTCTTGTAAGCTTTCAAGTCTAGTAAGGTTTTTAGTGGTATTATTTGTTATAAAATATATGACCATATTCAGGAAGAATGATAACTTGCTGCGCTTAATAATGTAATAGAAATCATTTTAAAAATATAGGAGACTGGGGCTTTCCACAAGGGATTTTATCCCTGTATCCCTGTGTCATATCTGCTGTCCTAATGACTGTAAACCAGTGCTAATTTTGACAGCAAATTTTGATTTACATAGTCTTTTAGTCTTTTGACTAAAATGCCATTTAGTTTTAGTCATATTTTAGTCATCTGAATTGTTTTTAGTTTTAGTTGACTAAATATCATAAGATTTTAGTCAATTAAATCTACAGTAAATTTAGTCGGCTAAAATCTAATGGGTTTAGTTACAGTGCATTTATTAAGCATTTCTCTAAAATGTCCAAACTCATTATATAGGTTTGATATTAAGGTTTTGTCATGATAGACACCGATTTAACTGCGGTGACACACAACATGCCTTTGTGTTAAAATGAGATAAAACCACTTCTCATAAAGAACAAGAACATGGTCTTCTTTTTAATGAAATGCCAATGATTATATCGGCTAATTATGCATTCTTTATAGCAACTTGTTTACCATATTCTTCATTCTTTCAAGCAGACATATTTATTTCTATAAATAAATTTAGATTCATCTTTAGGGCTACTAAAGTTTTTCAGTCAAGAGCAGTGAGTGATTTTCTGTCTTTTGTTGCTTGATTAACCAATGACTCAGACAATAGCAACTAAATTAGGCTGCTGTCCCTTTAAAACGAATGCACGGCTGCAATGGATGCAATGTACTGATACATGTTCTCCCTGCTGTTTACGTTCACTTAAGACATAATCAACTGTTTACGTGAATACTCGTCAAAACGAACAGTTTGACATCATTTTGTGTGTAATTCTGCGTTCATGCGACGCGAAAGAGTACTTGTGTGCTGTGAGAGGCGCTTTCTGTGTGTGTGTGCGCTCAGAAAACTGGACCGAACTGAGTTCTCTCTTGCGTCGTCAGATTTATCTATATGTCTGCTCTTCTCTTACTCCCACATATTGACATTTTTTTACGTTTTATGCAACGTGCAGCAAGTGTATGTTAGCTTATGTCCTGCCGGTTCATCTGAACCACGCAGCAGATTCGTTCTGAATGAATCTCTTCCCAAATCGTCCCTCCCTAACATTTACGTCTCGTTTTTATTCATTGACGAAAACGTCAATGGATTTACACCATAGTTTTTGTCATTTAAAAAGAGTTTTAGTTCCTTATCGTCTCGTTGTCATTGGTGAAAAAAATGTTGTTGACGAAAATTATTCGTCAACAAAATTAACACTGCTGTAAACTGACCCATTTACTGTATCAGATATATTGTCACAGCAACACAAATAATCTTGTATCTCGTTCAGTAAGGCCATGGAAAATCTCTCCAGCCTACTGCTTTTGATGGAGAATTTGACCGTTGCCTCTATATCCATGGGTAACGTTAAAGGGGTTTTAAAGAAAATTCAAAATGAGTCTGAAATCACGACGTCCTACTTCATCTACTCTCCAGAAACTGGCATCAGTGTAAGTGACTTCAACCATTCACTTTGCATAACGGTGGTGACAAAAATGTTTATCTTTTAAAAACATGAAATGTACCTCAGAATGGAAATCTCCATATGTTTACAGGTTATAGATGATTTGGACGAACTGCAGAAATATCCCAATGCTTTCAGTATTCCAGAGGAAGCAGCTAAGAAAGCGCTCAACCAAAGTGCAGGAAGCGCTTTTATGGGTGTTTTCCTCTTTCCCAACATGTCAAAGGTATAAAGAAACATCAAAAACAGGCTTAGTCAACCTTTAATGATGTGTTTGTAACAGAAAGCAGTTTTTGCTTCTTTTAACTGAGGATTTTTAAAAATAAACATAACTTCATTAATAAAGAAATTGCTTAAAGGGGCATATGATGTTGCTAAAACGAACATTATTTTGAGTATTTGGTGTAATGAAATGTGTTTATGCGGTTTAAGGTTTAAAAAACACATTATTTTCCACATACTGTACATTATTGTTTCTCCTCTATGCCCCGCCTTTCTGAAACACATCGATTTTTACAAAGCTCATCGGTCTGAAAAGCGAGGTGTGCTGTGATTGGCCAGCTATCCAGTGCGTTGTGATTGGCCGAATACCTCAAGCGTGTGACGGAAATGTTACGCCCCTCACCATACTGTGATGATGCACTGCCCTGCCGGAGAGACGAGACAAAAACATTAAAACCCATTATAAATGATGCAGTTGTTGCATCCAGTGGGAACGTACTTACGGATTATAATGACTTATACTGTCTTTTTACGCGTTGCGTTGCATCGTGCTGCGTAAACATAAAACCATGTCTGCATTTGTGATCGGAGAAATGACAAACAACAAGCACTACTATTTTAAAAGCATTTTTACATTTATAAAGCCATTTTTTCTTAAAGTGTGCCTCATCTTTTTGAGTCAAATTATTGCATATAATTTGTCAATTAGAATAATGAGACATTTGGGCTGTTACCAAACAAATGGTATAAATATCAACGAAATTAATCTTTACAATGCAGAGGAAACAAGTTGCATCTGAAGTGACATTTAGATGTCACACTGTTTAATGCAGCTCAGAGGGACATGGGATGCTTTAACCTGCAGTTACAAATGCATAGATAATGTTTTGATATTGTAAAGAAAAAACGTCGAATACTGACATTTGAAATTATTTAAAATATATAAATATGAAATTTAAACCACCAGTAGATGGCAGCAAGTCACTGTTAGAGTCATTGCGATTGAACCGAATCATTTAAAGGTTGATTCATTCAGAAACGAAACACCGTCATGTTTTTGTTTATTGAACTGTATATTAATATCACATAATTTTAACATCACATTT